GATTTCTGGATCTGGGCTATAGGTACAGTATATACCCTGTAGCTATTTTTATATCCTGATTAAAGTTTTGATTCTAAACATGTTGACTACTTCTACAGACGGTTCAGTTTCAAAATTTTCAAGCGTTACGTTTTATTCTTTCAGGTAAGATGCAACTCAAATAACGGGAAACTGAATACTCTGGATTTATCTGAAAGAGCCTAACGTGATATAACAACAGTTTCATTATGTCGCCTATAGCAGTTGCCTATTTAACAATCTTTCCGATTTATTTATATTTAATTCAGTTTAAGACTCATTTACCATTTTCTAGATCATATGCAACAGCTCATGAAAATCATTCTTTTGAGCAGCAGAATATTAGTTGGTAAGGTAAGGATATTAAGCTCTTGAGCATATGCATTGAAGGCACACAACTTACTGGCTTTAAAATTAAAACATTTCTTACATTTTTAAGATAAAGGTTGGTCCTCCAAAATGTCTGTGGCTAATCAATAGTCATTCCACACTCCACCAGTTTTCACTAGGCAAAGAAAAGACCTGTGCTTGAGAGCAGCAGTTACCAGTCTGCTTAAGAGTGTTGTATCTCACAAATTCTGGTAAAATATACAGCTTTTGTCTTTGTTACTTCTCGCGAGTAACAAAGAAATACACACTTACTTTATGGAGCAACACGTCTGTTAGGAGCCTTGCACTGCAGTGGGCTGCATGTATCCATTCTTGTTTTGCTTAGTCTACGGATAGAACTCCTTGATCCAAGCTGACCTGAAGTCAATATTTCCCATTTTCAACAGTGATATATCTAAATAATAAGAACTGAATACCTGACTCACTCTGACTGATATGTGATCAACATATATTGGAAACCAGTGACCAGCTTTCAGCAATTCAGCCACAGCATGCAGAGTTCATTGTACTTTCTGCAAAAGGGAACCAGAGAGCTGGGGAGAGCCTGTGGATCCATATGAAACCTAAGGCATAAACATAAATGCTTAATGTTATAATAACAGCTTTACAAACGCAGGATTAGTTATTTTTTTTAAATCTGAAGTGTTTTCCTCCTAAATAATGCTTAGAACCTGTAATGTTTGTCAGGAGCTTCCCATGACGTAAATGGGAAAACACTCTGAAATGTCACAGAAGCAACAGAACCCTGTGGTTCCCAGGCACCAGTCTTAAACATCCACATATTTAAAACACAGGTGAGGAGCCCAGTGGGTGTAGCACTTTCAGCACGAGACAGTAAGATAAAGTAAAAGATAAACCTTCACACTGTGTCAGCAGCTTCCAGATCTGAGCTGATGTTCCACCAGCCAATTTAATGTGGTTCGCAACAGTTATTCTAGCTGTATACGGACCTTTTTATAATTGGACTTTGTCAGTCGTTACTTACAAAGCAGCTATATTATCAATAAGTGCCATTAAGAAATGTGGCCTCTTCTAGTCTATAAACCTCCAGGACTGCAGTTCAACACATTTTTTCCTTAATTGACTCTTAACTAAAAATACGTGGTTGCTGAAGATCAATTCAATTTAAGTTGTCTAACCAATTTTATGGTATTGTATACAATGTTTATTTTATGGTGCTTTACTCTAGCTGCGTAATACATGCTGCAATATCCAATCGCTGTCTGTGACCTGCCCCCCGGTGTCAGGCTCCTCAATCTTAATTCTGAAGTTTTTAGTTTTTGATTAGGAAAAATGTATCCCTTCAGCTGGTTATGACTGTACAATGAATACAGACTGCAATCTAAGACTTGACTCCTTTAAGGCTTTTTCTTTTTTTTCTGGCATTTCCAAGGCAGATAAAAAAGAATGAGAACTGATGCTGAAGAACTCATTTTGGAAAGCAGGAAATATTTGTTCAGAATTGTTGCTTCACAAGGGAGTTGTAGAATTTTACTGTCCTGGTAAAAGATGCTAAGCTAATGTATTGACAGATAGTGACTTTACAAACAGGGTTGACTAAACATGAATCATTATGGCTGATGACCAGAAGCACTCAGATCTTTACAAGGTATGGAGACTTTAAACCTTCACCATTGTGAGATGTACAAAAACCATCTGTCACAGAATGATACAGGTCTCCATTTACCTGTAGACAAATTCGGTGGTGATACTGGTTCCATTGCACCGGATAAATTTAGGGATATAGGCAGAAAGGCTTTAAAAAATAGCTGTAATCGTTTTATTATTCCATTTCTTACTTGCTGTGCATGCTGTTATGTTTTCTGCATGGTTGCTCCATTAACCTACCTTTCATCTGTTATTAAATTAATCATTAATTACTGAAACAGGTGAACACCTTCTTGTCGTTTCAACCAGAGATGAAACTGTAATGGAGAAAGATCACCTTTCATTTTTTTTTCTTTCTACTCATTTCACAAAAAAATGAGAAACAAATCTCACACTTAACAATCAGGCATAGCTTTTCTGCTAGATTATCACCTTCACACATCTAGTTGATACCTTTTAAAATGCAATATTAATAAAAAGGAAGATAATGAATGAAGATGGTCACTAAATAGTCCCAAAATGTTAGAAATATTGAGACAGTTTTGTGGTGGTGAACAAAATTCCCTCCTTCTTTAAAATCCCCAGCCTGTGGGCTTGAATCTTTGCTAAATAGACTGTATGTGCAGGGAATTTAAACGTTACATCAAGGATTATTGCTAAAATGAAATGTTCAGAGAAGAAACTTTAAATTTAAAAATAAACGTTGCATGTTCTTTCAAACCAGGTGCTTGTATGAATAGTCTGTTGCGGTGTGTGCTGCTGTGTGTTTTATAAGTCCTATGGAAAAGTCCTATGGAAAGCACCTTGGTATTTTCTAGCACTAGGTCCAAGTGATGTGATAACCCAGTGTCTGGGTTGAAATTCTGCAAAAAGTTGAACATGTCCTGAAAATGTTTCTTTTCTACAGTTAGTACTTGTGTCTTAGAAAACAAATAATGATCTGAAATGAGGATGACTGCACTGAAGGCGTTTCCACAAGACATTGTTTGCATCTCATTCAGTAGAGTATGTCAGATCTGAATCATTGTTCTGTCACTGCTTCTCAGCATTGTACCTCAGTGAATTCAGGC